ATCCATTCCAGCGGTTTTTACGTGTTTCAGATTAATATAATACCTTAAGGTCGTAGGTTCAAATCTGGCTGAAGCCCCGACTAGGTATTATATTTTTTCATTTTATAACGTCGTATTAATCATATTTATGGGTTTTTACGTACAATAAGAGTTTGTCTAAATTACAGCTATTAATTTCAAAGTATGTAGGTAGCGGAATTGCTCAAGCTAGTGCGTTTTTATTATTTGATGAAAATAATTTTTTGATTAATGGCGTCTTGAATTTTAATAAGTTCCATTGGCGGCGTCGGCGGCGGCCGTAATTAACCTAAATTAGAAGCAGCTTTTATTGAACTTATCTTAATTAGTGTGAATGAAAATTACATGCGGGAACGCGGAAAGTCTGCGTTTCTTTTATTTATAAATTAATCACTCGGCGTCGCGACGCCCGTCCAAGCACGCACCGGCAAATTAGAAAAGAGAGGGCACCGTGGACCAGAGGCCGAAAATCTGAGCGACGCTAATGCGACACAGGAAACGGTTGTGTCAGACGTCAAATTTTTGAAGTTTCATTTTTATTTTTGTTTCGATCGTATTTGGTCCGATCCTCGGGCCGCTCCCATTTTTATTACTTTCAGCTCGCCTCGGGCCGCCCCTGCGTGACTGCAGGAAATGAATGATCGGGGGTGACAGTGGCCATCTTCTGGCTTTCTCGTGATTGACCGATGATTTTTGGGGAAAGTCGGAGGGGCTTTAATTGGACAGGTGGTGCGAATGAGGGCAGATACTTAGTTCCAGTCAATTTATCGATGAGGGGAGTTTTCTCGTCGGGAGTTGCGAGAAGTTGCGAATTTTTTCGCCCGCTCAAGTAATGTAACTTATGTCATTAAGTTAATCTGAAAATGTCGTTTCCGTTGCCGTTTTTTCTTTGTTGAACGCTTCCGTTACATTCGTGTGTCAGAGTCATTTCCTCGCTCACTCAGAAGAGGGAGAATCTAAACTGTTTAGTGCTTATAAAGTTAACTTTTTATGCGCACGACATTTTTTATGGGGAACAGAAGTTATTTTCATATAAATCCGTGATTTATGCTTTATGTTTTCTATGATTTCCTTTATGAATTATTTTCACTTTCGCTCATTTTTATGTCGAAAGTTTTAATGGACCAGGACATTCCGAGAAGTTTTTTATTTTTCATTCCGATTTTTGTTGTTGTATTTTTCCACATTTTCTCGGAGTTTACGGCGAGCTTTCCGAAGCTCGCCTCTATGATTTATACGTTTCCAAGGACGCGGTGTTAAATTGTCTTTATTTATTTCGCGATTTCTAACACCTTCGCTGGCTAAAGTTTTAACGAATATTTTATCGCACTTTAAAATACGCCGTGGTGGATTTTCAATTCCACCATTCCGGGCGCATATTTCAACTTTGCAACATAAAAATATTTTATTATTTTATGTGCTACTATAAATTACTACAAAATGCTCTTATGTAACCAAGTTTTGATAAAACGTTCACGGGTTTTAGATTTAAAACACTTCTGGGAGTTGTACCATATAAAATCAGGATGCGGTAATAAAAATAATATATAGTGACGGTTGTTTTTTGGGAGATATTTACATCAAGACTCACCCTCGTTTACCATAATCACCAAACGATAAACGCAGTTTATCGACAACCTCTCGAACGTGAATGTCCAAACATCCATCTTGCGATATTTAATTGCACACGCGTTTTTCTTCGTTTTTGCGAACTCTTACGTTATATTACTTACTTTAGCCACGTTGTGTTCAATTTTGTCACTTCAGACAATTTGAAAATATACTATATTTACCAGATGCCAATTTGAGGACGTTTTTTGTTGGTTGCATTAAATTTTTTTATAGATATTTTTTGGAATGCATAGCAACAGTGTTTTATATAGGATTTGTAATTTTCATTTAGATGAGCTATTGTTGGTGGAATTTTGAATGCAACATTTCTTTCCACCGCTTATTACAGTGTTTCATTAGCTTGGTACTGGCAGCGGAGTTTATAACATTTTTATTGTTGAATTGTTGGCAAACAAATAATAAATTACATCCACTCGTTCATTTATTTGGCATAAAACATGCAACAACCGTTAAAATACAGATTCGTTACGTAAAATTTTGTAAATGCATGAACAAAGAAAATATTTATATGCGTGTGCTGGTGATGACGTGAAATGTTTCCGACACAGTTTAACTGAATTTTATCATTTCATTTCAAAAAGTGAATTATTATAACTGCATCGAGTAGATAAATTGCAAAGGGCTCTGATGAATTCCGAGCAAACTAGTCTCACAATTTGAAATTGATTGCTGCAATGTTATCAGTGGGCCGAAACACTGCCTGGCAAGTGCATTTGTAACGTCATTCCAGTTAAACATGTGCAGGAACTGTAGTGGTAGTAAACCTCGAAGTTAGTGGCGTGGTTATATTATAATAATGGTTATTTATTCTAGCAATTCAACCCATTTACTGAAACGGATTATCCACTATCTAGTCCACAGTAGCAGCTCTTTGGGGAATAATTCTACCTCTTGTTGAGGGTTATGTTAAACAGGCAATAATAGTTGTTGTAATATCGGAAGTATATCACGGCACTACACCAGAATTTAACAAAGCCGAGAGATTAGCAGCTGGGTCCTTAGACGAATAATTAATAGATATGTGACTTTTTGCGCGACTGTTGAAATTTTTGTCGTTCAGATGTCATCGCCGGTTCTATTTTGAATTTGTTTCGACCGGTGATTTAGGTCAGGCGACTTCGAAACAAAGTATCCTTTGTACGACGGCAAGGGTAATAAGTTGAAATTCACCGGAACCGAAATGATTCTTTAACCAAATCGAAGTGAGAATAGAGCCGGTACAGAAATAAAGCAAGAGGGACGTCCTGACTGTATTAAAAGTGACAAAAATCTCTTTCATGTTCGTTCGATTGATGCAAAGAGAACCCGTGGCGGTTAATTAATGGGTTTGTAAGTGCGTTGCGTAAGTGTTGTCCTTCTCTTTGCAACGTAATTAGCCGATAAAAACATTGACATGTTTTACAAAAGAGAACAAATCAATTAACCTATAATTATTGTCGTCGTGGCGGCATAAACAAGCGGACATGAATCGTGGCTTGGAGCCAAGAGCGAAACAATAGTATTTAATTATTACCGCTTCCACATTTTCTCTCGAGATGTATTGCAAATACACTCCCCACAAAAATTAATAACTCGACGTTTAAATTAGGAAAAAAATTGCGGTCGATGAATAGCTACCGAACACCAGATGACGCTTTGAACAATTATCAAAACTTTTTTTGGCGGAACGGGACATAGAATTGTTGTTTTTTTTTTTAAAGTACGGTATGTTCACCTCTAAGCCTGTGATACTTCCATGCGTAGAACTTTTTTAATTTAGCAAAACGCACCTAGACTCTTAAAGTGACTTTATCCACACGTGTTCCATGTCGATTTGAGTCCGCGTTCTAATGGTGTTTATGTTTGGTAAATGCCATGAGACATTACGTGGACATTCTGTGACGGTGCCATAAATAGTACGGTTTCGTTAATAAAAGAACTTTTACCCTCTAAGTTAAAGTTGCTGTAGCTGAGTTTAACAACGGATTCCATCTCAAATACAACAGATTCTCCATCGAGTGAAGAATGTTGGATTACATGTATTGTTCTGACTTTCAATATGCCCTGATATGATGGTGTACAGCATCACGTTTCATACGAAGTTAAAATATGTAATTTATACCCTCGTAGCTAGACATGATGTTGAGTAAAATTTAACTAGGTACTGGAATCTTGGTAACATGTCTTGTTACTTGTACAAAAAACATGTATGTGTACGTATCACAGCAACAGAAACACTGTTGAGTTTGCTAGTATAACCCGAAATAACCTCAAACCTTTGTGCGTAGTGTTATCGACAAGCTAAAACGCTAATATTAACGCCAAACAGTGTTTATTTAGTGCACAATAGACGTTTAACGTAATGAACATTATCTAGTTGCAATAAAATATGGAATAGAAGCGTGTGTTCGGCTAGATAATATATAATGACGTCACCGCACTCTCTCATGGAATTGGTGGGTGGTTTTTGTGTCCATAACCACGCATTTTTCGATAATTTCGGGTTCCTGGAAGAGCTAACTTCGCAATGACCATCCGCAAAGTTTCCAACTAAAATTGAATTTCTCTTCAGTCTAGTATAGTTTTCTACAACCGTAAGTTCGTAGGTAAATCTTGAAGAGTATCGCGGCATCTGAAAGTTGGCAATGAATGTTGTCACTTATAAATGTTTCAATTAAAGATTATGGACCAGTTAATGGAAGTTACCGAAACGTTTTTTAGTTGTACATCGTACCGTGTTGGTTGTCCATTTCACACAGCCTCGTTGTGGATGAAACGACCAAAAAAACTAGATGTTATCATAAATCATTTAGGATAAATTTGTATCGTAAAGTGGCAATAATGATGTCACAATGAGTCCGAAAACCCATAGATTGTGTCTTGGAAATAAAGACAATGGTATAATGTGAATCTCATTGAATAAATAAAAGTTATCTGCACTAGATGATCCACTTTAGATTTTAAAATGATTTATTAACCGGTTTTACTGTTTTATTGAATCTATTTAATAGTGTTTAATAATGAAGATATTATTACTTTGGAAAAAAAATTGTATGGGTTTTGGTCGTGACAATCATTTTTGGGACGGTTTTTGCTATATTTTTGTTGATAATAATTGGGGATTTTGTTAAATGTAACATTATTTTGTGGGGAGTATATAGTTCAATCAGCCAGATTAAAGCTACCTAATTAATATTAACTATGACCTTTACACACAGTAATTAGTTTTTAGAAGATAATTTTAGTATTTGCTGCAATTATCTTGTCATTATTTTGTGGTAGCAATTTTAATTTTATCGGTGTCTAAAATCCGGCTGGACGGACTTTATTTGTCGAGAGTTTCGTTCTAACTTTGACCGTTTTTGTTGCAGAAAGCCTAAGAGAATACTTTAGTAAATACGGCGACATAACAGAAGTAATGGTAATGAAAGATCCTGCCACCCGGCGGTCGAGGTAAGTTCCCTTCAAACAAATCGCATACAGTCAAGCAAACTAAGCCGAACTTCGCCCTGGCCAAGTTTCCACGAGATGAATTAACTTAAGTCAGTGATGTGGTTCTGGATAAACTGGGTTGTTCAGTTAGTTTCCTTGATGTGATGATGCCTGATACTCCCCAAAACTCTATCCATCCTTTTGACGTATCGCCCCTTTAATAGATTCGGACTTGTATTAGAGAGCAGGCCGGGACCCGACCCGCAAACTTTTCCAACTTCAATGAAGTTTACTCACGAGATTTCATTAATTACTTATAGCTTAACACTTAACAGAAAAAGTCCTTTCAAGGGCCGCACGCGCTAAAGCCCGATAACGTACCGGGTAGGTTCACACAGAGCACCATCTGCAATGATCTCATCCACGACACGCTTCACAAGTTCTCTCGATATTAGATGCGTTAGTCGTAGATAGATTTCTTCGATTCTAGTCGTAAGTAACTTCATTTTAGCAGTCGATACTATTCGTCAGCTGGATAAGACATTACAAAGGCACACCCTGCAATGGTCTCACACTAAATCACTCGATGTGTAGAAATTCATCCTAGATGTTAGTTATTTAGCTCTAGTTTCTTTGTAGCTGTATGTCTTCATGTAGCACGGAATCTTAACGGAGACGCTAAAGAAACTCACACCGTCTTTTAATGATATTCAAGGATCTTCGATGTTTTTGCAAGGATTAGAGTGCATGCCTTAGCATACGAGCTTGTAAGTGCGAGCTTTCAACTCGGAATCTCTTGCTGTCTCTTGAATTGTTTTATTATTAAGCTGCAACCGTCAAATTTACGACCACTATATAAAACTTATTTGGAAGTTCCGCATACTTTCAGCGAATGCACTGCCATGTAAAGGACATTTTTCTAGCTTGCTGAAGTTGAGTAAAGGCTAAGTTTTCCACATAATCCCGACCATCTCACGCTGCTTTTATTTCTACAAGTGCGGCTTGTTTATTCATGAAACGGAGAACTTTATTGCTTCACTGCTACTTTCTGAATTAAATCGCCGCGCATTTTCCATTTTAAGCCTACAGATATCGTATTATTTCATTTATCCGTCAGCGATTCGCTGGTCTAGAGGTAACTTTAAACAATTAAAATGCAATACGAAGGTAGAAAATTTCCAGAAAAGATAAAGCATGGACCCTAATTAGTTTTTTGCACTCATGATCTTTTTTGATGGCTTTCGTGCATTCATCAGAGTGCGGGAGTTCGAACTTCCCGCACACGTGCATTTTAACTTCCCGTTGCCATGGTAACCTTAAAATACTCGCGTAGTGTCAACATTGTGATGTGTTGACGGCGCCATTGTTTATAAATAACTCACAGTTAATTTCTTCAGTTTAAAGGTTTATTCGTTGCAAAAAATATTGTACACAACACGTTCGTGAGCCTGCTTCCCGCATTCACGCAAATGCGGCACTCCCTTCGGTCGTGCCGCAAACAAGCGTTCATGCGGGAAGCAGGCTATCCCGAACTAGTTGTGTAATAGTAATTTACGCAACTAGTTCGGGATAGCCTGCTTCCCGCATGAACGCTTGTTTGAGGCACGACCGAAGGGAGTGCCGCATTTGCGTGAATGCGGGAAGCAGGCTCACGAACGTGTTGTGTACAATATTTTTTGCGACGAATAAACCTTTAAACTGAAGAGATTAACTGTGAGTTATTTATAAACAACGCCATTGACAGCGCCGTCAACACGTCACAATGTTGACACTACCCGAGTATTTTAAGGTTACCATGGCAACGGGAAGTTAAATGCACGTGTGCGGGAAGTTCGACCTCCCGCACTCTGGTGAATGCGCGAAAGCTATCAAAAAAGGTCATGAGTGCAAAAATTACTATTACCTTTTTTTTTTGCATATTTTGATAAACCACTTAGTACTTAATTTTAGTTTAGTAGATATCGGTATGTGTCCCTGTCGAAAGATCTCTATTTTGCTCAGCAAAGTCTTATGAAATCTTGCTTCACTATCAAAATTTGCACGGGAAATCGCCCTGTCGGCTACCAAGTACCATATGTATTTCGTATTTATTAAATTATATTCTGCTACTATATACTTGGGGCTTCTGTGCGGTTTTCCGCGTCGGTTTTAGAAGCTGCCTTGGTTCTTAACGTAATTATCCGGGTCAATAGAATCAGGTGGCGAGTTTATTCCGTGAATATCTTTACAGCTTACGAGTATGCTGTTCGTTTTTGAGCTTATCGTCCTTTCTGGCGATATCCTGCGACACATTTGGCTCTATTTGGGGTGCTCGGTCCATCTCCGTTTCTCGGCTGCGTCCAGCGTTTGTTGCTTTGGTTATAAACGAAATGGGCCTGGAGGCTTTATTGCAAAAGAGATAATCATTTTGCGGGTAATAATGAATATATCACGGCGATAAATTTCCGCAATTTTGTGTCCTTTACGGCCCGGTTTTCGATTCACCATTCGGTTTTAGTGTTATCCAAAAATAATTGTGGTCAAATAAAATCGGACCAGATCATTCGAAAACGAGTTAAACATCGATGAGGCAATTTTGGGTATTTATTATAGCACTTAGCGTCCGCTCTCCGCGCATTCATTACCTTTAAAATGCACCACAACTATGCATTTAATATTTTGCACAAAACAACAAACGTAACTGAATCTCGTTTGCTTAATTATTTAACTCGGTCGGTTAAACGCCATATCTCTATGCTGTCGATGGTATGCGCAACTTGCTAATGAGAATAATTAAAACAGTTTCGATTTTAGTTGTGTTGCATCCGGGTGGGAACGGCAATGTAAATATTTTGCGGAGGGGTGGAATTATACTAATTTCAATGCAAAGGGAAGTTTATTACTGTTGAAAAAAACACGTTGTACACTTATTGTCCTCGAATATTGTTAAAACCAAATGAGATTTAATGTTAAATTGAACGAGTGAAGTTCAAAGCGTTTTTACGAGATTGTAGCCGGCAGTAACTGAATGTTAAAAGCCGTCAATTTTGGAATCGATACCCTTTATATCTCATGACAGGTTATTTTGGCACTCACTGAACGCGGGGAATAGTCCATCCAAAGCGGGGATCATGAAGTTGTTGTTGAACACACTTACCTGACTTGATCTGACCTGACCTGACCTGACCTGGCCGAACTTGATCCAACTTGACTTGACCTAACCTACCCGATCTAACCTGACTTGACGTAGCCCAATGTGGTCCACTCGCGTTCGATAATACTTTGATATTGCTGAAAACCGTGCAGGAATTTACCTTACGTTCCATTGATTGCCTTCTCGAATGTCCATTCTTTTAAATGAAATTACTGGTAACAAAAAGCTTGTCTTCGACTTCACACATTGTTGACGACCTTACAAAACAAGTGCAATTTACCTTGTAAAGTGGTCGAAAAATACGTTAACATTGTTTTTAATTCTGGTCAGGCCTTTCTAATTGCGATGATGTGATCTTTGGTGCTCTTCGAGCGTTGTCGCATTTCGGTGTTGTTCAGCGACAAGTTTTTGTCTTTGTCGCTGGCGGACGTGTTTTTGCAGCCCCAACAAAAATTATTGAACCGAGTGGAACAATGAAATTAACTGCAATTGGTGATTGCGTTAGCGATGGTCACCGGAGTAATGAAAACGGTGGCGTGTAACGCAGGTAGCGATTAACGAGTCGTGATTGCATCCTCTCTCTCTTTTACTCTTTTGTGTGTTATTGTAGCGTGCAGGAGAGCCCTTTTAAAATTGGACCGTTCCATCAAAGTCCGCTACATACTGGGTCCGATTTATATTAACTTTGTTCGTGAAGTCCGATCGCGAGGCCATTCAATGCCGGAACTCTTCGTGTAACGACTCCATTGCACCGCCAATTTAACGGATTGCTTAGGAAGTAATTGCCAGTCGGGATAGGAGGGCTCTGCACGATTCCGGAGTTCCATGGAGACCATCATACCGCTGATTCCTTCCAGTTGGAGGAAATTCGTGCGTCGGATGCCTTCGATCCCGATTTGCACGCTGAAAAATTCGCAACAATTTTAATTAGTGAAGGCCGGAGGCAAAAAATTTCAGACATTTGTCAAGCCGGTGAATCACAAGACCGAAACCGTCGATAAATAACTCGGAACGAACCGGAGCTGTTGTTATAAGCAGGAGGATTAGAAATGTCAAAACAAATCTGCTCCAGCTACGGCTTCCCAATTAATCAGGTCAGAGGTTGGTAAACAACAGATATACAATAGTTTGATAATACTTGCATGGAGTTGTTAAAATTTATGACCCAGTTTACCCTGTAGCAGCTGTTGCCACGAAAGCACTCGTTGAGCGTCCTGGCTGTTGCTGAAAACAGAATTTACTGTAATAAATGCCTATTGTACGTACAGGTGCATAGATCTCGCTTCTGAAAGACATTTTATGCTTTGATCATAGGTTTCGTAAAAGATTGAGAAAACTTTAAAGAACTGTAAGCTCGTGTAAGAACCATAGTTTTTGCAGTTTCAGCAATCCAGATTTCGAACGTATTTATGAACAGCTCATTTTATATTATCTTAGCTATGGTAAAGTTATTAGAAAAAACTGAAGTCTACAGTTGGCAGTTTTGTCCACAAGCATCTATATTTACGAGCCCTAACAACTAAATGTTCGGACAAACTAACCGGAGCGTTCAAAAACCACTCTTTATGAATTAATTTTTAATTTTTATTATCAAATCACATAAAAATAGGAAGCTAAGATTTCAAAGAATAGTTTTTAATAAAAAAGTTGAATGTTTTACTTTACATAGAATTTTAATTCAAATATGACTGGATTTTTCAGAAAAAGTGAATACACTTTGGCAACTAATTATTCGGACAAATAAATAAAAAAATTAATTTTCACTAAGTAGGCGGTGTGAATTGTTTGATTGTTAATAAATATCATTCTCCTCTTCCTGCTTTACCTAACTGTGTTCTAAGATCCATAGAAAAATATATATATTCTTTAACAAAATGGTTCGTGGACG